AGCACACCCCCCCCCCCCCCCCCCCAATCCACGCAAGCCCTTTGACTTCATTGAGAAAAGAAGTCCATATAATTATTGTTGCTTAACATTCCATCGATGACTTCTTGTTTTCATCTTCTTTTTCTTCTTCTTCCTCTTTTTTTCCTTCTTCTTCTTCCTCTTCTTTTTCTTATTTTTCTTCTTCCTCTTCTTTCTTTCTCCTTCTTCTTCTCCTTTTACTTCTTCTTCTTCTTATTTTCCTTCTTCTTCTTCCTCCTTCTTCTTTTTCTTCTTCCTCTTCTTTCTTTCTCCTTCTTCTTCTCCTTTTACTTCTTCTTCTTCTTTTTTTCCTTCTTCTTCTTCCTCTTCTTCTTCTTCTTTTTCTTCTTCCTCTTCTTTCTTTCTCCTTCTTCTTCTCCTTTTACTTCTTCTTCTTCTTCTTTTCCTTCTTCTTCTTCTTTTTCTTCTTCTACATCATTATCATGTGTTTATTTGTTTGGCAGATGTAGGTAGCCAAAAAGAACGTGCAGTACGGAATATGGGAACTTCAAATGTGTCAAATTAGACTTGCGCCATAATACTTTTCACAAGAGATGGCGCTCGACCATTTTCAGAGCTGGACTTCAGCGCAGAACTAATTAAATCACACTCCAAGTCCAATGACTATGGTGCATGGTCCCGACATTAACGCGGCTCTCTTGTCCGTGATTTAGAAAATAGTTTATGCTGCATAAATTCCAATAAATAAATGTGAAACACTGAGCCGGCAAATCCGAATAACTGAAAATACTCCCATAGCTACAATATTAAGGGAAGCCCCCGGCAGATTAATCTGGCAGGGTGGCAGGCGAAAAGAGGGGGATGCATATATATATATATATATATATATATATATATATATATACGAAGCAATGATTTTTCGCATTGAATAATAGATTTTCACACTGGCTCTCTCAAAATATTTAGTTGTCTGATTTCTATATATATATATTTTTAATGTAGTTAGATTATACAAGATCTATATACCAAGGAGCCGATCGACACCCAATAAAATCTTGATTGTCAGTAGGCCTATAGTATATAGTGCTTGCATCGGTTATTCGTTATCATATATCAGAGATTTTTATTTACTATAGGCAGTACGCCAAAGATCTATATTTCGATGTTGCATGGGGTACTACTTATGATTTTGTTTAGTTTTTAATAGGAAAAAATTAGATGGCAATTGCTGAAAGGTGGTCCTCTGCCTAAAAAGTAAAAGAGTATTTCTTGGGAATATTTCTTAAATATTATACCCTAAAAAATGTTTAAAAGCTATAGACTCTAAGACTATATCAAAAGTGAATATATTCAATTTAGGCCTAGAATTCTAGGCAGCTATCGGAGACTATTCATGAGAACTTAGCAGACGACAAATTTGACTTTTTGAACTAACACAAAATATATCGCCATCTTTCGTCATGAATACGTCAGTGGCTTTCTTAAGCGGACGTCGGAGGAATCATGCCCGCCTTCTTTATTAAAGATATTGGCGGCCGTGCCGTCGTGCCGGTGAGTCACTACATTCGCATTGCATTAAACTAATTGGCTATCGAGCAATCTGATTGGCTGTCGTTGGATCCCCGCTTGCGGTATAAATACCTTGTCACGGTCGAAAATTATTCAGTTCACCAATTTCTTACGTCTTTGTATCTACACGCAATATTCAATAACTCAACATGTCTGGACGCGGAGGAAAAGGCGGAAAAGCACGAAGCAAGGCCAAAAGCCGATCAGCCCGAGCAGGACTTCAGTTCCCAGTTGGTCGTGTCCATCGTTTCCTTCGCAAGGGAAACTACGCAGCTCGTGTTGGAGCTGGAGCCCCAGTCTACCTGGCTGCCGTGCTCGAGTACTTGGCAGCTGAGATCCTCGAGCTGGCTGGCAACGCCGCACGCGACAACAAGAAGTCCCGCATCATCCCCCGTCACTTGCAGCTTGCTGTCCGTAATGACGAGGAGTTGAACAAGCTTCTCAGCGGAGTGACCATCGCACAGGGAGGTGTACTGCCCAACATCCAGGCCGTCCTTCTCCCCAAGAAGTCTGCTGCTGCCAAGAAGAGTGGAAAGAGCAGCCAGAGCCAGGAATATTAAATTCTTCCTGTGCCCACCATCTAACCCGGCCCTTTTCAGGGCCATCACATTTCCAAGAAAGAATGAATTGAAAAGCTCTCGTTATTTTGTAGTTTTTATAAGCCTTTAATTTAGGCCCCAGAGGCTAGACATATAATGAATGAATGAATGTGTCTGTTTATAAGTGTTTGACTACATTCGGTGCATGCTGCTTTTTGTGGTTCTTAATCTGAAAAAAGGCAACATTTAGTGATTTACAAGTCAAGGGGGGGGGGGGATATCAAAGGGAGGGACGAGCAATTAGTGTACCCTAAATAACACTTGGGGGGGGGGGGGGGGTGGAGGGATTGGAATGAAACTAATTGTTGAGTATCAAAGCAAACTACAGGTACATACCTGAACCAAATGATAAAAAGAGCTCAAGAAAGAAATGAATGGAGTTGCAGTAAAGGAGAGTAATATAGAGAAGACGACCACCACCATTACCTTATAATATTAAAGACCGTCACCACTACTGGGCAAGAAGGGATTAGACCACACAGCGAGCCATCGAGGTCACTGCGACAGGTGGCTATCTCATTAACTCGGCTCTCATTTAACATAGGAAAAAAGAGGATCATGGGGGACCAACAGGCACTGATTGGGGAAGTTTTCTATATAGAGGGAGCAAGTGGCTACAAGTATGGCAGTGTGCCTTTAAGACCAATTATAGACCTATGGTCATGTGATTGTGAAAGAAACGTGAAATCGATCAGAAAAGGTTGATCATCTAGCATATAAGTAGATCTACTATTGGCGTGTACTGCAACTTCTGGAATCATCAAAATGATAAGAAATTTGGCCCAGTCTTCGTAAAGTTACAAGCACTGTACACAGCAAGATGTATATGGGACTACGCACACGTCCACGACACATGCGTTTTTCTCTCACAGTCCAATAGATAAACTAATTTACCAAATATATCAATTAGTAGGCGGTTTCCCGGCAAAATTTTTATCATCATGTAGATCTATTGGTCAAAACATTCTTTCACATGATTGGTAATAAAGAGCTTTCATTTTATTTTTTGAAATTGGGGCGTTTCCAATACTGGTCTTTACCTTTAAAAGGTCCAGAGCAATAGACCGCTTTATGGCTGATTTGTGAAGACAGTTTACAAATGAAATAAGAACCAGTCAAGACTTGAGTAAAGTGACAAAATAAATTTGTATTTGCAGCCAAGTCTGAGTAGACTAAACAATTTGTGCACTTACAATTTTTAAACGTGTTTATAGAGCAGTTTTCTGCTATTCTTACAACAATGAAAATATAATTTTCCCATACAACTCCAGAAAAAAAACATGAAGACATCAACACAAATACCTTGAATCTTAACTTTGCTGTCCATGAATCTTGTGCAAATTTCATAAAGTGATTCTGATTCCAAAACTTTTTTTTATGGATGCTCTATGGTTCCATCCAAGTCATTTCTGAATGCCTAAACTGAACATTTATGTGAATATATCTTAGCTTTTTTCCGGAATGAAAAAGGGGGTGCGCCCCCCCCCCCCCCTGGATCTGCCCCTGCAAATAGCCATCCAGTCATTCAAAGCTGTTTCATGATCATGACACAAATGTCTCTAGTTTTACATTATAAGTACATGTATGGTATACAGTTATCAACTAAATTATTCATACCCTTACCAAGTTTTGGAATTTTAAAGTATAATATATTAAAAAGGTGATTTATCCCGACTTATGTATCTTGAGAAGGAGATAATACTGACATCTTAAAGTACCGGTATTCAACAAAGTCCCTAATTCAACCAGTTCACCTTTCATTCTTGAGTAACAAAATACACAAAAGCACCAATTTTATAAGAGTTATGAATAATCTAGTTGCTGTATGAACAGCATGTACTTATTACCAAATTATTTAGAGTCCACTTTCACACAGACATTTGAGACAAAGAATCATTCATACCAGTAATACATTAAGTTTAGTACTTTAACTATGTGGTACATGACCATGTGTGTACCTAAAAACTACTTATCTATTTTAGTACTGCATGTATTTAGGAATAAACTACAATGTCTAGCTATACATGATAACATTTATATTACAGTGATGTACAGGAAACCATAGTTCAATAATACTGCTTGGCAATTATTTCTGCATTGTTTATCTTTAATTACATTATACATATATCGACTGCTTTTGAGGGGCACATATACTATTTTTGGCCAAGATGATGTCAAAACTGTACTGTTACACAAGACCCAACGAAACAGCATATCCCACATTACATGTGTCAATTCTCAAAAAGAGGTATTTTAACAAAATATGCCAGACATTTGCTCCTGTGGCGATTGCTCAAGGCTTAATTTCGTCTAGTCCAGATGCTGTCCGTTTTTACATTTTCAGTTTTTTCTTCATTCATCTTTCCCCCCTCTCCAACATGCATAAACATAACCCCTTCACAATTCTCGCTACCCCAAATAGCGATTCTGCCGAGATCCGGGGAAAATCCTGAAAACGCGCATTGCATTATGGGATAGCTTTTCGACATTACAGCTTCCTGTGCAGGCGCGCGATAGCGCAAACGTAAAACGCCGTCGCCACACAACGTGTATGCACCGAATATGTCGTCTGCTCGGTCTTGTTTTCTTTTCGCAAATATTTCAACGTTTATTTGAACATTTCATTCGTTGTTTTTTGCGTCTTTTGACATCAGTGACGATGCTTTTGTGAGGCTGCACAGTGCTGGGCTCATGATTCCAAGCGTAAGAACCCTGAAAAATGGGGGTGGATGAAGGCCGTGACTTGGGATGGGACTCTATACCGGAAGTTGTAGTGACGACCCGAGAGAGTGAAAATTACCTCGTCTCGCGAATTTCGAGATTTTCGTACCTATTTAGGGTAGCGAGAATTGCATCTGCTACGCATACAATAACACACACTTTTGGCAAAATAGCAGTGCAGTTCTATACATGTAACTCGAATGATCCTTACTCCTGGTCCTTAACCATCATAGGAATATAAATTCATATCGACTACAACGTCCCTTATCCATCATGCAAGTCCTGAATTTAAATCCAATTGTGCGTCTCTAAAAAAATGATCTTAACTAGGTTTACACCGGTATAAAGTAATCATCTAATCTAAAGTATTTCCCTCATTATTTGCATTGATCTATACGGACATTGTGAGAAAATCTAGGAAAACCATGATTATATCTCAAATGTAATGTTTAGGATTAAGGAAACTTCAACAAGGCAACATATATATTTTGGCACATTTTTATAACAACAAAACAAACAAAAAAGGCAATTCCGCGCAACATGTCCCATATGACATACAGTGTACATGTGAGACATTTATCCTTCATTTCATTCAAAAATGAATGTCTCTTGATATCTACTGAATAATCATTCTTTCTTGTATCACTAGACTATGGTGCTGTCAAGAGATTTTTTGTTGTTTTTTTGGATGAAATAAAACCAGACAGGAATACTTGGTCAAAGACAAAAATCATAATAACAAGCGTACAATTCGTCACAAAGCACCACGACTGAGACAAAAAACATACAAACTTTACAAACACTTATTTCTTCTTTTCAGAAAAGATACAACTTTTTGCAAAAGTAACAATTAACAAGGAACCCTTCTGTAAAACTAAATTTTCATAATCAGCACATACATACATGTATAACTTTAAAGAAGGAATGATGATGCCAAGAACTGAGCCATTCCTTGAGAATTTTGATGAATCCATGGAATTTGTTTCTGAGGAAGTTAAAAATGACATTGGTATGGTACCAGTTGGTCCCAGATAGTCAAATTTGCTATAGCGACCACCTGTATAGAAAGACTATCTGTCTATTAAGGAGACAATTTGTTTGTTTTCCTTGAATATTGTTCTTCATTGAATCCTGATATACTGCCAATAAAGACTATGTTTCATGTTTCCCTGAACGATCTTTATATACAGATTTCACTGTATTGGGAAGAGGTGGTCCTCTTGAATCCACAAAGTTGGAACAAGTTCAGAACGGCTCGAGTGGAGGTCTAGTTTGTTTCTGACAAGGAGCAGAGATGGACGCAAAGCTGCAATCACAGGATCGTTACAAGTTCAGAGTGGTCTCGTTCGTTTGGCCTTGCCTAAACAAGACTAGCTTTTGTCCTTTTGCAATCCAAGGCACGGAAGAAGTTCAAATTTGCATCGGTGAGATTACAGTGGATAGTCCCAGATGTGTGGTAGAGGTTAAAGGTCATAGTGGCATCAGAGGAGGCCCCTTGACAATGATGGGTGGAAGCTTATCCTTGATCTTCACGAAGTGCTTCTTGAACTCCAGACCGTCACCCTACAGAGACAGAGAGAGATAGGGGGAGGGGGAGAGAGGGGGGGGGGGGGGGGGTTGAGAGAGAGAGAGGGAGAAATGCCATGAGAGAGAAATTAGAACGATCCATCTATCATCCCGTTTTAAAAAAAAAATGCATTTATATTAGATGCTGAAATCTAAACACCACCTTCCTGATTTAGGTTCTAAATATTGATAAAACATATCTACGACCATACTTTCAGAGCATTTGACTCTCCTTGTAAGAATAAAAGCTGAATCGGCATCAAATCTTAGACAACCGCACTACTCGTGTGACGTCACTACGATTATGAGCCAACTTATAGTTTTTCCTCCTCCATGGAAGCATGACATCCCTGGAGAATTAGATTTCCTTTTCCTTAATCGTATGACTATTCAGATCCTCAGTCATTAAGAAATTTATAAGTTTGATATCCATATCAAATGCCATTGTAAATTCTTCCAAAATCAGATCGTATAGTGTATGGTGGGCTTTAGTCCTAGCCCATAGCAGTTTGGCATCACCTTTTAGTAAAGTTATACTTACATCTTTTGATTCAGAATGCTCTGAATTATAAATTGTACATGAACAGAAAGGACTAAAAGCAGTTTAAAATTTGAGTTCATTGCATTGCAGCATGTTGTGTTGTTAGTGGATAAGTACCACTGACTTGTAGGTTATCATTACAGTCTCTCAATTGGCAATGCGAGTGAAGTTTATTTGTGTACAAATTGGCAACATTTCTATTCACACTGGTCCATATCACATACATTTTCATTATTTTAAACTATGAAAGAGGGGATAATATGAGTAATCGTTGCTAATTTGAGGATAAAAACCTGATTCATTTAGACCTTAAGAATACTCTGAACAGCTTTAGGTTAATGAAAGCTACCCTTCTTTGAAGTTCTTTCAATTTATGAAAGCTCCGGAGGAAGTTTACCTTTGACAGTCTGAAGTCTACTAGTACTTTCTGATCCATTTCAAGCAGGTTGGCCTTGAAAGTGAGTTGGTTCTTACGCTTATCTAGAGTAGATATTGTCACCTGTGAAGAAAGAAAGATGGTCTAATAAGTCACTGCATACAATAACATAATCCAATGTAGTTGTAAGGACCTTCAGTGTTTTCTCACAGCCAGTTTGTAAAGAACTTCAGAGTAATATAGATAGTTAGAGAGGGAGACAGAGGACGAGAGGGAGAGAGAGAGAGAGAGAGAGAGAGAGCTCTAAGAAGAAAGAAAGAGAGAGGGGAAGAGAGAGAGAGAGAGAGGGGAAGAGAGAGAGAGAGCCCTATTAGAAGGAAGGAAAAAAAGAGAGGGATAGACAGAGAGAGGGGAAGAGAGAGAGAGAGAGCCCTAAGAAGGAAGGAAAAAAAGAGAGGGAGAGAAGGCAGAGAGAGAGAGAGAGAGCTCTAAGAAGGAAGAAAGAGAGGGAGAGAGAGAGAGAGAGAGAGCCCTAAGAAGGAAGGAAAAAAAGAGAGGGAGAGAAGGCAGAGAGAGAGAGAGAGAGAGCTCTAAGAAGGAAGAAAGAGAGGGAGAGACAGAGAGAGAGAGAGAGAGAGAGAGCTCTAAGAAGGAAGGATAAAAAGAGAGGGAGAGACAGAGAGAGAGAGAGAGAGAGAGCTCTAAGAAGGAAGGATAAAAAGAGAGGGAGAGACACAGAGAGAGAGAGAGCTCTAAGAAGGAAGGATAAAAAGAGAGGGAGAGAGAGAGAGAGAGAGAGAGAGAGCTCTAAGAAGGAAGAAAGAGAGGGAGAGAGAGAGAGAGAGAGAGAGCTCTAAGAAGGAAGGATAAAAAGAGAGGGAGAGACAGAGAGAGAGAGAGAGAGAGAGAGCTCTAAGAAGGAAGGATAAAAAGAGAGGGAGAGACAGAGAGAGAGAGAGAGCTCTAAGAAGGAAGGATAAAAAGAGAGGGAGAGACAGAGAGAGAGAGAGAGAGAGCTCTAAGAAGGAAGAAAGAGAGGGAGAGACACAGAGAAAGAGAGAGATAGAGCTTTAAGAAGGAAGACAGAGAGAGAGAAGGAGGGACAGGCAGATAGAATGACAGAGACATGGAATCTACCTGATTTCGACAGCTCTTCTTCCATGAGTAGATGGGGAGTTTATCCAATGTAGTTGTAAGGACCTTCAGTGTTTTCTCACAGCCGCAGCTTGTGAAGAACCTTGTCATGCGTCTCACGAGTCTCTGCATGGGGGTCTGAAAACAACGACAGTAAGTCACGTCACTACATGGTTTTCCAACAATTCATGATTGAAACATATAAATGGCGCCAAACAAGTGCTGTGGATCATCATCATTATCATGAGAAAAGTTCCCTGACTTTTCCCTCTGGTTTTTTTTTGCTGACTCTTTCCCTGGTAAAGTTTCAAAATGCCAAGAAAAATAAAAAATTATAATTTACACATCAAAATGGTACATGTATATCACAATAATTGATTGGTGGATTGCTTTTAGAATGCCCTAAAAAATTCATCTCTTCATCAATACTTTCAAGAAAGTCTTCTTTTTTATTTCATTTGTTGTCTCATTTATGTGTATCTTAATGCTCTCAACTTTTCTCTTCTTTTGCACCTTAAGCATATTATGTTGAGTTGGCACATTATAAATACATTATATTATTGCTATTTCTTCCAATGGGAAGACTGCACAATGTATCCTTTCAAGGGCAATTCAACCTTTGTAATGAGTCCATTCAGCAAATTTAGAGACGCATAAATCAGACCAATAATACAAAAGTTACATATGCTTGAAATACAAAATCACTACATCTGTGCAAAGCTCAAATTGGCACTTTAATCAGTGGATTATGACAAAGTCATGGATAACACATCTCCAGTATGTCATGTACAAAAATATAATTAATGTTTGTTTTTCTTCTTAGCGCTTTCTCCTGGGGCACTTCTCAAAATATATCAAGGCTAGCAAGTTATTATAAGATCCCCCTAAGTGATACATTTTGCAAAATTGACATTTCAGTGATTTCTGAGTTTAATTTAGAACAAACAGGAGAGTTGTCCGTCACGAAAATCTAAAATTCCCTTACGCTTAATGACTAAAACTTTTGAAAATTTCATAACTTCTTATAGTTTGTCCTATTTGTACCGGAGTGTTGGCTCAGTCAGTAGAGCGTCCGCCTCACAACCGGGAGGTCGTGGGTTCGAACCCCGGCCGCGTCATACCAAAAGACGTTAAAAGATGGGAGTTGTTGCTACCTTGTTTGGCGTTCAACAATAAGGGATAGAGCAACGTCGATCTGGCGCTGCTCAGTGGCTGCCGGGCTCACGATCAATTGGGCAAAAAGAATTTCCGTTTCGGTTTAATAAAATTTGGAGTGGACTATTAGGCTATTATTATTATTATTATTATTATTATTAATTTCATGTAAACTTTCACCATTACCCTTCTCTAATTTTCTTCTTTCTTTTATTCAGAGCAACTTGCTAATAAGGCCATTTAAAAAAAAAAATGTTTAGCGTCCTGCCTTTTTGAAAAATAGGAAGGAGGAGGAGGCCCTTTTTTTCTCTTTTCCAAAATGGCTGCTCTCATTTTCCCTGACAGTCGGGCTATTTTTCAAGATTGCCGCCATCATTTTTTTTTTTTTTTTTTTTTAAATTAGAAATTTATCATTTTAGCATTATGTTTTTATTCATTGAAAACAAATTTGGAGGCAGCCCCTAAAAAAGAAGTGAGCAGGGGGGGGGGGTGGACGCTAAACTTTTTTTTTTTTAATGGCCTAAAGTTGGATTTTTCCTTTTTATACCTGTGAAGCTCCTGGAGTACACTGCAGCTGACTACTCAACAGCATGTTGTCTGAATGTATAGGCTGGGAGAAACTGAAAGCGTTCACAAGTTCCTCCACTGAGCTCGGTATACTGCCCTCGCCTGGTGTAGATGGGGCATTGGTGTGGTAGGTGGGTTGAGAGGACGAGACTTTGCTGCAGAGGATACAAAACAAAAGTATTCATATAATTTCTGCGTGACCTCATTCTAGATAACTATGGAAAAATACTTAGGATAAAATACTGAGCCAAAATCTTACACTAAATACCAGAGTTGGCTAAGTATTTAATCTGAGCCAAAATACTGAGTAAAATACTCATATTTTCTGACTTAAATATTGAATTAAATAACGGCTCAGGGCCCTGTATTAACATAAAGATTTACTTACAATAAATCATAAAAATCTATTTCCAATCTTGCTGCAACCAGGGTTGGCATATTTCCCGCTTCGGAGGCTAATATTTCCCGGACGCCGGGAAATAAGCGGTATTTACAGGTATTTACCGCTTTTTACCAGTATTTACCACTTTTTACCGGGAAATACCGGGAAATATATTTTTCCACTCACTTGTTCATAGGGATTGTCCAATTTTGAACATAATAACAATGGTGGTGAGTATGGTTGCTCTTGTGTGTACTATTTGTCTGTGTGTGTGTGTGTGTTTGTTCGTGTGTTTGTCTAGGTCTGTAATTATGTACTGCTGGAAAAAAATACAGGAAAAAGATACCAAATATACACCTATTCTAGATATGATGTTCTTCATTTAAGGGAACCAAAACCTTCATACTAAGTTACTTTTATTGTAAAGTTTAAGATATTTGAATAAAATCAGTGAAAAATTGAACAAAATCGGGCAAGGAATAAGGAAGTTAAAGCATTTAAAAATGACTAGTCACTAGAGGGCAATATTCAATTCGATGACATCATTTGTGGACAACTCTCCATGCCTTTTGTATATCAAATTTCACAAGTCTTTCGTTTTTTTCCTATTTATTTGTGTTCTTGATCGGATTTCATAACATGTGAAGTAGAATATCATTTTGCATTCTATTATCTCAATCACAAGAAAGAAGGAAAAACATGAAATTTGATGTACAAAAGGCATGGATGTCATCAAATGGAATATCGCCCTCTAGTGACTTGTCATTTCAAAAAGCTTTAACTTCCTTATTCCTTGCCTGATTTTGTTCAAATTTTCACTGATTTTATTCAAATATCTTAAAATTTACAATAAAAGTAACTTGTATGAAGGTTTTGGTTCCCAGTTGCCAATTACCATATTCATGAATACCTATTAATTAGCATATGCACAAAATGCCATTTGTTTGGGTGTGTACAATTTTGTATGCAGTGAGGATTTTATAAATCTGTTTGTGTGTTCCTACTATGAGTATTGTGCTGCTAATTATTTCAGAACAATATTTTCAGTTATGGGGCTAAAAACAAGTAAAATTATTAATAAATAGAGAATTAAAATCATATTTCCCTTTTTTTACATATTTACCGGACGCGCATCTTATTTACCGGACGGTATTTACCGGTATTTACCGCCGTTAATTACCGCCACCAGTATTTACCACCCAACCCTGGCTGCAACTAATTCTATCTTACCAGGGGAGTGTTTCACAAAGACTAAGATTGACTTTAAGTTGGACTTAACTATGGCAGGCTTTTCATGCTACTGTTTTCTCTCACCATTTACTGGCATTGGTTAATCAAGGGACTTACAAATCATGGTCGCAAATCTACAGAATTTAAATTTTTTAATAATTCATTGATGAAGGAAAAAATATTATCTAAAGATCATAATGGTGAGAGCAAACAGTGGCATGAATGGCCTGCCATAGTTAAGTCCAACTTAAAGTCGATCTTAGTCTTTGTGAAACACTCCCCATATCTACTCGTAGCAAGAAAATTTTCAAAATTAAATTTCACACTAATATTTTGAAATAAAGAACTAAAAATATGCAATTCACAAACTTCTATTTCAATTTGATTAAATAAATATGCTTTAGAAATAAATGGATATCGTTTCAGTTGACGGTAGGTGTTTTTATCGCTCTAATATTGAGGCTGCAAGAAAGGAATCATGCTTCGTGACCTTACCGAGTGCGTTCAGAAACGGAAGTGGAAATATGACCCACTGAAGACTGAGCAAGTTAAGAAAGTCCCACACACAAGACTAAAATGTTGATCAGACTATTACAATTAAATCGTAATAGTACTAATAGGCATTAATTTAATTGTCAAAATATATCCACAACATAATGGTTTACCCTTGATAGTATGATGAAGGAAAATAAATTAAAGCTCTTGAAATAACATTGAAGTGCCTTGTTGAATTGGAGTCCCTGAAAGCCTCACGTGATGTTTTTTAATTGGTAAATTCTTATTGTTCCGATTAGCTCGGATGAGGGTGTAGAGATGTAAACATGCATATCAAGCTTGACTCGTAACTTCACTACTTCAGCTTGCCGTTACACACGCATTTTTAGAACGAACGAAAGGCACTTCGATGTTATTTCAAGAGCTTCAAATTATTTTCCTTCATCAAAATATCAAGGGTAAACCATAATGTTGTAGATAAATTTTGACAATTAAATTAATGCCTATTAGTATTACGATTTAATTGTAATAGTCTGATCAACATTTTAGTCTTGTGTGTAGGACTTTCTTAACTTGCTCAGTCTTCAGTGGGTCATATTTCCACTTCCGTTTCTGAACGCACTCGGTAAGGTCACGAAGCGTGATTCCTTTCTTGCAGCCTCAATATTAGAGCGATAAAAACACCTACCGTCAACTGAAACGATATCCATTTATTTTTTAAAGCATCTTCATTTAATTCAGTTGATTATGTTAAAATTTTGAAAGCAGTAACTGTCTTTTCCGTCGCATTATTGGAACAACTACTTAATCTTAACTCCCTCCGCTGCATGCATACGGTTTTAGTGTCAGTGGTGAAAATTTCGGGTACCCGGTCCCCGCCCGAAATTTTGAAGTCAAACCAGGGTTCGGCAAAACCCGTGATGACTCAGGCCTAATACAATCAACCATAACTTTTGTCTGTAACGGTGCCCTAGCTGGATGTCTAGTTCATTACTGAGTAAAGTAGTAAACAACTTGGAAAAAATCAGTACATGTACATCAATCAACAAAAACAACGAAAATGTTATAAACATTGTAATCATCTTCCAACTTTTGATCTAGTGAGTATTTGAAGGGGACATGCTTACTTGTTTCCAGCTGCAAGCGGTGACAGATCATTTCCGGTACACACTCGCTTCATACTGCCTGTATTCGGCGAGCTGGTGGGGACTCTTCCGATGGTACCTGTACAGAAAAATTAAAATATCAACACTTTAAAACAGTGCTGTTGGGAACGTAAAATATTTTTATTTTGGGCCCCGTCTTACAAAGAGATGCGATTGATCCAAATCTTATGTACATAGTTGCATTTGATATCATTCATAAATAAGTTGCGATTAATATCAACTCTATATAAGATGGGGCCCAGAATTACCTTAAATATCAATGGACATTTAAAACATGGAGAGGTTCCACTTGGTACATTTAAAAATTGCACCTAAAAGTAATGGAGTTGCTCAATAAAAAGATTTTGTTTCTGTTCATCATTCTTTCCCACCTTTCAGAAAAGTTCCTACAAGAATAGACAACTCATGGCAAAAGTGAGAATATACGGTTAAGGTGCACAGACAGTAATTGGTGCATACAGAGATGCAATTACACATACTTTCTTTTTGAGACTCGCATTATATATATACTATTTCTGAGATGTCATTCAAAGAGTAAATGGTGGCCTCAGTGACAATGCAAACTGAGCTTTTTGATCAAGTTCGTAGCTTATTTCTTGAATATAGATATTCATATTGTAGACCTATCTTTTAAAACAAATAATTCACGCTATGAAGTTTGTTCATACATTGCACTCAATTCAGTCGTGATGAGACTGATAATGAACTCGACAAGTCTCATTCATTATTCTATCGTTATTTAAGCTATGACACTATGAATAACCTTCTGCTTAGCATTCGTCTCGAAGGGTTTTACAGTTTTGTACAAATGACCTTTATCTGCCCATGTGCAGATAGCATCTCGGATAGCATCCCACAACTAGACGTTGTGATGTGCGCCTTTAAATCCAGCTAAAAGTGGAAGTTACAAACTGATTCAGCCAACGAGGCAGGTTAGGAACTGAGTCACATCTTTTTGATGGTGACGTTTCAAGGTCGGTCCCCAGACGTAAATAGTCATATCTGATTGATACACGTCTGTAAAAACCCAATACACACACACACACACACGCATCTCTAAAGCAGCTTCCTGTCGGAGGAGCAAGTGTCGTACAACTGACCTTTTGACCTGTACCAGCGATCTTTCTTTATTTGTGAGATGGTAATCCTCTTGGCCGGAGTCTCCGTCAGGATCTTCCTCAGAAGGGCTATGATTGGAAGAGATCAGTACAGAAGTGGCATGTCAAATTGGCAATTCAAGTTTGCACCTTCTTCGGGACAATTTTCCAAAATTTGTGCTGTTTTATAGCTCAAATTCTTTTGAGTAAGAATAACTTAAAATGTTGGTTACAGTTAGACGGATAAGCAGAAACTGCAAATTATAATTTTGAACATAATGTGACCATTTTGTTGCATTACTATACGGTATCAGATGCCAGATTTTTTTTTGTTTTTACTGTTTTTCCTTTATTAAAAAATAGGTAGTGAAATAAATTCATTTTATTGGCGAAAATGTTGAGAAATTCAAAAATTCTTGTTCATATAAAATTGGCAAATCCAAATATGCAAAATATACACAACATATGGTCTACCACTCTGTGCATTATTAAAATACATGGAAGCCTGTATATAAAGATCGCTCAAGGGAAACATGAAAAGAGGTCGTTACAGTGAGGCAGGTGGTCTTTTACATGCATGTGCAGGTTCCTTTAGTACAGGTTTCAATGAGAAACCATATTCAAGGGAAACAAAAAAAAGCAATCTTTATAGACAGGTGGTCTTACTATACAGGTGGTCGCTAAAGCAGGTTTGACTGTAATTACTCCCAAAGTGATAGAAGTGCTTCATTAAGTACCTTTCTCTCCCGTTTTGGAAAAACAGTCAATCCTGCTTCATTGCCCATCTGTATAGAAAGTCTGTCTGTCTTAAAAGACCACATTTTTCATTCCCCTTGAATATGGTTCTTCATTGGATCCTGTACTGAAGGAATTTGTACTGATCGAACCTGTAAATCAAGACAACCTGCCTAAATAGACTGTTTTTTATGTTTCCCTTCAGTTCTCTTTTAATATGTAGGTTTCCCTGTAATACTTCCACCTGTTTATTGCTGCATTTTTCATCCTCATTCAATATCACCTCCCCCCCCCCTCCCCCCCCCCATAAAAATAACAATAATAACAATTCAATTTCAAAATTTACTGATTATAGTCCAAACAAATCATTCTCAATTTTTTTTAAACATAACAAAGGATAACAAAAATTCAAATTATAGTACACCAAAGACAATTGAGCTCAAATGTCTAATTCACGATAAACAGAAAAAAAACAAAAAAACAATAACAATATGACAGTAAAATTATGTATTCCACAAAAATACAGGTGTATATACATATAATTATATTCAAATTCAAATTGGAATTCAATCTCCAAACACCCCCCCCCCCCCTACCTCCCCCTGCCAATGGAAAATCAACTTATAAGTCAACATGTTTATTGGGATTCTTACCAAGGGGTGTGGTATCGATCTTTTTCCAAGGAGACAGATGCATCTTCTTATCCAACCAATCACAGTACTCCTTACAGCTGTATGTCGGCTCATCCCACGGCAATTCTGCAAAATAAAATTAAGCAAATTCTAGACGAAATTCATAGCATGCAAAATCTCTAACTAATGCTTCCCCACATGAAGAAATTTATCAGAGCATAGCGGATTGATCGGTTTTCAGGCATCATGTAGTGTACTACAAGGAAAATTGTAATGACTTGGGGTTAAGAATGAGCGTTATTTCCTTTTCATCTTCACAATAACTAAATTATTCATATCCCTTGTAAATTTGTTGTTGTTTTTCGTCAATCAAGAATGAAAGGTTGACCGGTTGATTGAATTAGGGCCTTTGTTGAATACTTTCAGATGTAAGATTTATCATTTCATATTTGTTAAGAAATATAAATTGGGACAAATACATTTTTTACTTACCCGGTACTTAATAAAAAATCACAAAACTTGGCAAGGATACGAATGATTTAGTTATTAACTGTACATGTACATGTATGTTGGTTATTTGTTTGTTTGTTTGTTTTACCTGACTGCTAAGGAAGCCCTTCCCCATTTTAGGTGATGGGTATACGTTTACCCTTCTCATTAAATTTGCTTACCCCCAGCCAGCATGGCGACCAGTATAATCCCACAAGACCAAACGTCAGCCGGTTCGGCGTGGTATTCCTTCCTCTTGAGTACCTCTGGGGCAACGTAAGGCGGCGTCCCGCAGCACTTGCCCAAGAGACGCTCCTTGCCCTGGTGCCGGAAGACGGTCGCTAGCCCAAAGTCTGAAACCTTCAGGTTATCTGAGGCAATAAAGCAGAAAAGCATGGGGGCTCGTTCAGATGTGATGAAGTAAACGGCTAATAAACCAAAACCAAAGCGGTTTGTTAACGCGTCAAAGAATTGCAACTGCGCATGACAGAGGATGGTTTTTGCCACGTCATATATGAACGAACCTGTATGGGGCAGGCTCTGACCTTACAATGTTAATCTTGGAGTAGATTTTCTGGTTTGAGGTTGCTAGCCCAAAGTCTGAAATCTTCAAGTTATCTAAGGTATTAAAGCGGAAGAGTACAGAAGCTGGTTCAGGGACCCGTTTCACAAAGCCCTTTTATATCAATGACAAATGACAAAAATCAGTGACAAATCTGTTGATAACCAATCAGAAGCAAGGATTTCAGTAGCTTATAAGTTATAACAAAATCTGTCATTTGCACTGATGACAATTTTTGTTAAACGGGTCCCTGATGTGATGAGGTAAACCGCCACTAACCCAAAACCAAAACAGTTTATTTACGTGTCAATTAGGATGAATGGAAACTGCGCGCAACATAGATCCTATGCATATATTCACTGAGCTCTGTGTTATACAATACTGAAATGTGAAGCATATGATACTTTACATCATCTAAAAAAAAGCAGCGGTTTTGTCGCGTTATTTCGGAACAAACCTGTATGGGGCAAGCTCTGATCTTACCATGTTCATCTAGGAGCAGGTTTTCTGGTTTGAGGTCGCGATGCGTGACCCCTTTCTTATGCAGGTACTCTACACCGCCAATGAGTTGTGAGAAGAAACGATGAGCTTCGGTAACTTGCATGCCAACATCAGGCTCTGAAAGAAAGAAAGAAGGAAAGAGAGAGTGTGAGAATGAGAGAGAGAGGGAGAGAGAGCAAGAAAGAAAGAAAGAAAGAGTGAGAGTGTGAGAGAAAGAAAGAAAGAAAGAATGAGAGAAAGAAAGGAGAAAGAAAGAAAGGAAAGAAAGAGTGAGAGAGAGAGAATGAAGGAAAGAGAGAAAGAAAGAAGAAAACAAAAAAGAAAAAGAGAAAGAATGAGGGAGAAAGAAGAAAGGAAAGAATGGGTGAGAGAGACAAAGAGAGATTGAGAGAGAGAGAGAGAGAGAGAGAGAGAAAGAAGGAAAGTATTAATGAAAGACAGGAACGAAGTGAAATAGGGGATAATCAGATTTTTTGTTATTTCAAACTTATACAGTGAAACCTGCTTTAGCGACCACATGTACGACCACCACCTTTAAAAAAACACATTTAACTTGAAAATATGGTTTCTCATTCAAACCTGTACTAAAGGAATCTGTACATAAAGACCACCTGCCTGTAAAGACCAATTTTCATGTTTTCCTTGAGTGGTCTTTATATACAGCTTTTCCTGTATTACACTATCTCTCCTGATTGTGTGGTTGGCTTGTCTCTTTCTAGGAATACTGCTACAAAACACTGAATTTAAGAGGAAAATTACAAGAGCTGAATACAAAAAAGAATGGAATGTTTTTCATGCTTAAAACCAGAAAGAGGGAGAAGTAAATCTTTTCATCTATATTGCAAAAAATACAAAAGAAACCTACTTAAATGCAACCACCTATTTATAAAAACCAAAGCTTTCAATTTCCCTTGAATAGTCATAGTGTTTCTCATCGAAATATGGATATAAGGTGAACCTGATTGCAATTGCAAATTGTTTCAAAATTGGATCATAGTCAGATCGTGTAGTGTGCGCCGGGTCTTAGCATTATCGTAATAATCATAGTAACGTGTGTTCTACAGAAGCAATACCTGGAAAAACCTAAATATTTACAGAAAGTAACAGTAATTTGAAATACGCTGTTTCTTACCTATTCTATCAAAGAGCTCTCCTCCGCTAGCGTACTCCACGAACAAATACTGGATGCTGCCCTCTTTACGATGACCATAGAAACGGATGATATGCGGATCTCCTAACATTCGATGAATGCATACCTAAGAGGATAGTAATAATAATAATAATGATGATAACAATAATTATAATAATAATAATAATGATAATAATGATTATAATAATAATGACAATAATAATAATAATAATAATAATAATGACAATAATAATAATAATAATAATAATGACAATAATAATAATAATAATAATAATGACAATAATTGGATTCATAAAACGGCTGAGCCACGTTATGTGGTAATTATAGGTAGGCTTTCTATGCAGGTGGTGACCAAAGGCTTGTTCGGATAAGGCCTAGTAAACCGCCACGTTTTTTTAACATAAAAATGAATAGCAATTGCGTGCAACAAAGAATTCTCGTATTTACTGAGCTCTCTGTTATAATATACAAAAATATGAAGCGCATTAAACTCGACACCATCTTTAAAGAAACGCTGCTGTTTTGCCGCATCATATGTGAACAAGATTTTATTTAAGAAGTTATCACTATTTCAAATGGACCATGAAGGATGAAGGAAATTGTTGCCAATTTAAGAGAGTCTTTTCACTGATGAGCTTTAGAGATGTTTAATAGCTTTGTCTACCTCACCTCTTTCCTAACACTATCAGCTGCTCCTTGTTGTTTATCTAGATGTAGAATCTTGACCGCTACTGCCTCCTGAGTTGACCGGTTGACGGCTAACTTGACCCTTCAAAAGAAGGTTCAAAGGAATATATCAATCAAATCAATCAAATATCTTTTGATTACTGCCCCAAGGGAGAAGGCAGGTAGGAGATAAACAAAAAGTAACAATATTTTTGTTCACAACTGGAGATTTGTCCATGAGTCCATGACTACATCACAATCCACTGACCAAATTGCCAATTTCAGACTCGAACAGAAAGTGATCTCATATTTCAAAAATTCATAACTTTCTTATTATTGGTCCTTCTTGTATTTATTCAAACTTTTGCCATTCTGTTTCTCAAATGTTTTTGCTTTCATACAAATGAATTTATCACTACCGCGTAAGCTTGGATTGCCCTATTCAAGCGACCCATGGCCCCCAGCCATGAGGAACTGCGCCCCTCAAAAACATCAGTTCATACATACTCCTTCCATTTTACATGCAATTTTTCAAGTATGAATTTTCGTTTATGGACTATCCTGCTTCCGGTTTGGTTTACTAAAATATTCAAATGTTGTGCATACTGTTTAAACAAAGGTTGTTCAAGACAGACTGAAGGCTTGCCCAACATGGCAACACATGATGTGTGCAGGTTGGATTCCAAGAATAGTACATGTAGTTCATTCATTACCGTAATTAAATTCAATTCAATTCAATTCAATTTCGGTTTATTAATATCAACATATATTATACAATGTACAATACAGTAGTCCAGGGACCCAATAATGCAATGTTTACATAAAATGTTTACATAAAATGTGTATAAAAACCTGAATGACCATCTAAATGTACAGGTTAATGGAATAGCTCGTCACTAGGTCCCCTGGGGGGTGTTTCATAAAGAGTTTGTAAAGTTACGCATGACTTTACGAACGACTTGTATATGAAAAGCCAAATGGGATGCTCAATCATTATTAAAAACATCTAATAAAATTGAACTGTGCAGATGTAGATTAACATTCTTATGATATACAAACATTTTTATTGCAAAGTATATTTTTTGCCATAATTCAATTGAGATTATTGAAAATAATAAAATATCCAAAAAAAATTTGGGCACCCTATCTGGCACTTCATATACAAGTCGTTCGTAAAGTCATGCGTAACTTTACGAACAGCTTTATGAAACAACCCCCAGGAAAGAAACATCAGTACAAATGAATAAGTTAGTAAACCAGTCTATTCTACTCAGTGCTCCCACACTCCTAAGCTTCAAACAACAACTATCCAACCTGGGTTTTTAAATGGGTCCCATGGGACCCCCTTAACCCTGCCACACCACACTATCTACGGGATCTTTATCACCACGATGGCGAGGTGTGGACTTCAAGGTATATATTCAAGGTATATTTCATATGAATGATAGACTAGTCGACCCATTTCAACGCAATGGAAAACAAAAGATTTTAAAAATGGGTTTATCTACTCACTCTCCATATGCTCCTTCGCCTAACGTCTGTACAAAGTCCCAACCATCTACAAAAGGAGTTACCATGGTTACTGCATATTATCACCTCTCTCGTTTGTGGAAGGATCCTGAAAAAAAAGATAAAGATACTTGTAAGGAAGTCCAGTGGCAGTTGTAACAAATTTTTAAAAACAGAAGATAAAAAGGATCATCTTACAACTGGCAGGACGAAAGCACGTTGCACAGTTCTACTACATATGGAGGTCTAATCGTCGGTTGTTCCACTGAGACTACGTCTGGCTCCACTAGACCTCCGATTATAGAGACTGAAGATTGTCCTATCGGGACTGTACGGAACCAATGGTTCGGTTCGGCAGGACCGCGATGAATGAGATATGCTACGAGATTTTCACTCTTTACATCCTCACACATGCTGCAATATGACGATAATTAGAGTCTAATTAAAAATAACATATATATAGCTTATTTGACTTACGATAGCTTGCTCATTTAGATCCTAAATTAATGATTAATCCGAGAAAGTCTCGTCGTCAACATTATCCGTCTTGGTTTTAGTTGATGAATATTAATTTTTTCTTTTCGAACGTCCAATAGCTACCGTAGCTACATACGAGTCGGCCCGGCTGCGCATATTTTTTTTACACAACTGTTTAGCCATTTTCGTGAAAATATTCCAAAAAGTGCTCTGGTGAAAGAGTCTAAATCGTCAGCGCACTATATGCGACGTGCAAGCACGTACACCCAGGGAAGGGAAGATGATAGAAAAGGGGAAAACAAGGATAGTGGAGAGGATATGGAGAAGGAAAAACAAGGAAATACATAAGGAAAGAGAAGAGGATTAGTCAAAGTAAGGACATAGAAATACATAATTGAAGAGCTCAGTCAGAGGATCATAGATCTAGACTAAGGAAAAACAGAGAAATACATAAAGAAGGAGAAAGGGAATCTATCAGATTAAAACAAAGAAATAGATGACGAAGGAGAAAAGGATAGATTGAAGGAGAAACAAAGAAATACATAAAACAAAAGAGAAGAGGTCAGAATAAAGGAGAACAAAAGAAATACATAACGAAGGAGAACTGGGGGATAGATTGAAGGAAAAACAAAGAAATATATAACGAAGGAAAACAAGGAAAGATTGAAGAAAAAGAAGAAATACATGACAAAAGAGAAGAGGATAGATTAAAGGAGAACACAGAAATACATAATGAAAGAGAAGACAAATAACGAGTATGTACACATGTACAGCTCCAGCAATCCAACAAAATTGCTAAGGGTAATGCTAGACTCTGTCTCTAGTCGTTTGCACAGTATATTTGACTGAAGTGGCTAAACAGTTGTGTAAATAAAATATGCGCGGCCCGGCCTGACCAACGAACTCCCACGAAACGAGTGCTCTGATTGGCCATTGGCTATGTTTTGGTAGGTGGACCCGGAAATATATCGGCCGCCGGGTAATATTTTGAATGCATGAACGTACTGCTTCGCGGTTCTGAGGTACAAATTGGATAATTCATATAAGTAAGTCCGTAAATTATTTATTTAATATTAAGTTATCAAATTTTGAAAACTGTAATTAGGACAAATGACATACCGACCTAATTTACATCTGATTTAGAAATCAGAAAATTAGATCTAAATAAAGAAAATCGGGGGAGAAATGTCGGAAACGAAAAGCTGTTCCGCTGTGGCCCTAATTTACCCGCACGGTACGAGATCTCTGGGTTGCCATCTGTATTGGGGAATGACAACAAATGTCAGTTTTATTAAAGAAATGACCCAAATCAGATGGTTATTGCTGCATGCTGTCTAGCACTGCACTGCATGTTAATAAGCAGCATTTGAATACATCAAGTGTCAATACAATCATAACACATAGATACACACAATCATGCCGATGCGGCTGATCGGCAAGTTTGATCAGTAGACTAGATCTAGATCTAGACAGTAGACTCACAATTTGATTTTTTTAATTATTCTTTTTAACATCGAAAAGATGAAAAAATTGTATTTAGATCTAGATCTGCTACTGCTACGTGCTAGATCTATTTAGAGTCAAGGTGTCATCAATTGTCACTAAATAACGATTTTGAGTGAAATCAGTTTAGTTTTGTACAGTGGTGTTTGAAATGTTGAGAATCAATAGCACAGCTTTTATTCACAGCCAGGATAGTAATGCAGCTATGCGTGAGTAACTCCAGTTTCCACTGTTCCAGGGAGCTCCGCCGCCGCGCCTTCGCTTCGGGGCCGGAGCCCCCTGGTCTGGAGTAGTCTACTCAGAGACTGAGCTGAACGACGACGACCGAAGTGTTGAAATTGTTAATCAACTGCACGATGATTCAAGAAGAATGGGTGAGAAATGAGATGACAAGGCAAAATGCAATTCAATCAATACCTGAGTGATACGGTTGTCGATGTCCTTATGCAGAAAATTAAACTGCCAAGATCGGGGATCCACAAACCAGCAAATAACCAGATGACGTTGCTTGTTCGTTTTTGCACCGTGACTGTACCCGACGCGACGGCGGAAATTTGTCCAGCGTTTCGGTGATCGTGAGCACACCTAGTGCGGTGACTTCATTGAAACTACTGGCGCGCCAAATAATTGCACATGTTTACGTTTTGATCAATTTGTGTTGAAATGAAGAACGCCATCTATTGACGATATTTTATTTCGACGATTGATTTTCGGGATGGACAGGGGGATCTATCACCTGTCTCCAAATGGGGCAGTTACTTGTTATGAGTGAGAGGGAAAGGAAGAGGGAAAGAGGGAGAGAGAGAGAGAGAGAGAGAGAGAGAGAGAGGGGAAGAGAAAGAGAAAGAGAACGAGAAAGAGTAAGATTAGTGGCTGTATGTTTTTCTTTTATCTTTAACCCTGTAATGAACAAAACGCTTTTTTTTTTAAATCTATTTTATTCATAGAAAATTTCACTGAATGGTATAATCTTCCTAGAGATCATGTTGACAGAAGTATTGGAAGACTCGGAAATAGAGCACTGCAACCATTTTCTGGACCTCTATGAAGAACAGAGCCATTTTAGACCTAATTAATAATGGTTCTGAATAGAGCATTCCAGCCGTTTTTTATTCATGATTTGTATTATTAATGTAAATTGTATTCTTGTATGTATTTGAATTTTAAAACCAATTAACTAAGGCCAAATAATAAAAAAAACATGTTTAGCGTCCTGTTTTTTCGAAAAATAGGAAGGAGGAGGCCCTTTTTTATTTTTAAAAAATGGCCGCTCAAAATGGCCTCTCGGTACATTTTCCCTGACAGTCGGGCTATTTTTCAAGATGGCAGCCGACATTTTTTTATTTTTTTATTTTAAATCAGAAATACATCCATTTTAGCAGTGTTTTTCATGTTTTCTTTCTTAAAAAAAAAAATCAAATAAAATATTTGAAAAACAAAAACAAAAAGGAGGCAGCCCCGCGGCCCCCCCCCCCCCCACTCAGTGTTATTTAGGGTACGCATATGCTCGTTCCCTCTTTTTGAAAGCACCCCCTATCTGAGGACTGCCAACATTTCCGAACCCCCCTTTTGCGGGCTTTTTGCGGGCTTTTCCTGCCTTGGAGACCCCCCTAAATCATTAAAATTTTCTCAGGAGTCCAAAGAGATGAGAGAAAAAAAGAAAAAAACTCCCCCCTTTTTAAAGAAATCTTCGGGTGAAAAGTTAATACACCCCTTTTTTTACAATTCTCGGGCCGGACTTTGTCGCACGAAAAGTACCCCTTTACCGGACATTTTGGTAACACGCATGGGGTCATTCCGACCCCGGAGTGGGGGGGGGGGGGGGGGGCCGGGGGCGGCCCCCAAAAGGAAGCGGGCGGGGACGCTAAATATGTATATTGTTTTTAATGGCCTAAACCAAACCAAAATAAAATAAGCCCAGATAGTTTCACGAGGGGAGGAGTGAGGCCTCTTGCCACTATTATATAGAAAGATAACTTTTTTTAATGGGAAGGGGTGTTGGAGGCTTTTGCATTCATTTTTAACACGCGCCTCGCGATTTTAAAAACAAAATAATTATTATCATGGTTTTAATTTCTTTATTTTTATTTTAGGGGGGGGGGGGTGAATTGTTGTTTCCTTTTTATGGGGGGGGGGGGTCCAGATGCGAAGCCCCGGACGCTCTCCGGTTTTAGCTGTTCAGAACCTTCAATATAGCCGTCTGGAGCGATATAGAAACACCGGAGACACACACACTCTCCCCTAAAAACAATTGTGTAGAGCAAAAGGGTGTTTTGGGTCACATGGGCCCGGTTACAGCTATATAGGGAGCCCCTGAGTTTATTAACCATTGGTTTTAATACGTTGAAGATGGTCGTCACGATTGATAGAAATTATTATTTTCTCATTGAAATTCACCGAGCCTTTGTCATTTCCTTTAAATCATCACTCTTTCTCTATTAAAAAACTATTTTCGTCTATTCTATACTCCTCCTCAGTCTCCGTATAGGCCCATGTCGAGCAAACTTGCAAACTCATAGGTAATCTGTGTAAGTTGTAAGTTTAGGTTTCATGTTTTTGTTTTCTTTTATCTCTCTCTCTCTCTCTCTCTCTCTCTATCTATATATCTCTGCTTCTCCCTCCTTCCCCCCTCTCACTCTATCCTCCTATCTTTAACCTTATTTTCTCTTTCTATTATCCCTTTTCTTCCGTGGCTCTCTCTCTCTCTCTCTCTCTCTCTCACACTCTCTCTTTTTCTTTTCATTTTTAGACGCCTAGCTGAAGAGTGGGGTCCAGGGGCACGACTTGATGGGCCCCTTTCGGACGTTCTCGAGTTTTAGCAACATGAAAAACCTTTAAATTAGTCATTTTTAGCATTGGAAACACTTTGTTTTACAGTTTTATAATTATATACAACCAAGCATTGTCTTGGGAATCACATCGGATGGGGTTCAATTATTGCATGCTTGAGGGCCCCTTTTTGGCTTGCCGGTGGGGGGGGGGGGGGGGGGGGCAGAGGGCAGAACCCCGGCCGGACTTTGCACTGCCCCTATTGCTATATTTCGTTTAAAATCAATTCTCTTTCTCACTCACACTCTCCATAAAGACAATTTTGAATTAAGGGTCGCTTTTTGGATATAGGTCTAGGGGCCCGCCTTAGAGCCCCCGGTTTAGTTCCAGGGGCGGGCCGCGGGTCGCTCTCGAGTTAAAGCAATTTAGAACCTTCAAAATAGCCGTCTTGAGCTATCGTATCTATTGTATTAAAGACGAATGTTAAATCTGAGACAAATTAAGTTCGGATCCCTTTAAAATGTGCACTGCCCATTCCATTGTTTATACAAAATAATCAGTCTTTTTCTCAGTTAAAGATACTATGTCCCTTTAGCCAACATCAAATTCTGTAGAACTTTGCATGAATTATGAATATGTCATGTATGTCCTATCTTTGAAATTTAAATATTAGCAGTGTCCGAGCAGTAGGTCCATGGTCCGAGTATTCAAATTATGCAAGGAAACCGTTTACCTTCTAGACTTCACTGTCAGACACTATACAGTGAATGACTAACATCTATTTTTCTTTGATAATAATTTACATAAAATGAGCTGTAACAGGTACATAAAAAGTTATCTACATCAATAAACCTATACTTGTAATGGCGAAAATTAAACTGATTGAATCTTTGTGCTGTTGTGCAGCACAAAAGCTACGACCATTCGGTATAACGGTCTGAAAATCAGACTATTACGCGCGCAACTGGGGATTTCCCCTTTCCTTCGCTCACTTTCGACCCACCCAATTCAAGTGTCAATAATCGCCATTTTTCTGCCAGAAATTTGCACGTACTGCCACGTCACCTCGCTAACGAGTTCGATTCAGTGATTGATCTTACTAAATTTTAAGATCTTTCTTCTGTTACAGATTTAGATTTAAGTCTATCGACGACTAGACCGAAGCAGACTGCACAAAAGAAGAGAAAAAGAGACCAAAAGCTTCAGTTTTGGATCATCGAGGGTTTTCCGCTGAGATTACATCTGGCTCCTAATCTAGCTCCTACTCCTAGTACTACTAGTAGCTCTGATCGTTTCTAATGTATGGTCTATGCCTATGGGGAAGGTTGACAAATGTCACTTTTATTCAACAATGACCCACTAGATGGTTATTTCTGTCTAGTCGACGACATGCTGTCTTTGTAAACGTGATCAGACTGAAACAAGGTTAGTCTATTTCAAATTGATTTGATTTGATTTATGGTGGTAATGGTGGTGGTGATGGTGGTTATTTTACCTGACTGCTAAGAAAGAATAAATGTTTGAGAGTAAGCAACCAGACGGCCGACTGCCCTACTGACTCCTCAAGTTTCTGATCAACGAGGGCGAGGGTTGTTATGCCTCCCCCCCCCCCCCATGGCAATGATCTCATTTTTTACCCCCTTTATTACCTTATAACCTTATTACCGAATGTACTGGAAAATGCAGAGATCTGCAATCAAGTTTCCAGGTCTATCTGTATTCCAACTTCCAAGTTCCATCTTTCTTAATCTCCAATAATTTTTATCTGATGAGGTGTGACAGTGTCAGTGTATAATGTGCACATTGCTTCGAAGTTCAATGTTGATTTCATTTTGTCTTTTTTGTTCTTCTATTGTAAATCAGCCCCTCCCCCCTCCCCCTCCCCCCCTGTATTATGTTCATAGCTAGTCATTGAAATTTGTTGTTGCTTGTTCTTGTTTCTATAATATATTCACACTATGTAATGTAAAGAAGCATGCAGATGTGTAAATAAATCATAATTAGGTGAAACTATTCCATGAAGAAAACATGCTAGCCAAATTGACCATGAACAATGCTCAATGCTACCAGCCTACACTATGACATGACAGACAAAGAAAGCGGACAAAATATACAGTTCCTCAGGTAGACAAAGGAACATCCCTTCACTGCTATTATGTAAAGATGACGGTGAATATGCATGTGACACCTGTTCTACACTTTTTTACATAATAGCAGTGAAGGATATGTTCCTTTGTCTACCTGAGGAACTGTATATTTTGTCAGTCATATGTTCATAGTGCTACCACTACTACAGTTAGAATATAGAATAGCTAGAACAGATAATTTTCATAATGGATCAAATTTAATGCATAAATCTTTTTTACAAATTATTCATTCACCTGTTACAAATAATTGAATTTCAAATTTTTGATATTCAGAATGCGAACTGCATACATTCTGTGTTGTTAGGTAGGTCAAGCCATAATTTGTTATCCTACCTAGCAGCAACTTATGTATGCAATTCGTATTCTGACTATTGCAATAAAATTAATTGTACCGGTAATGGTTAATGAAATCATTTGTAACAAGATTTATGTATTAAATTTGATTCCATTCCTGTGCCTCCTATTGCCACCACTGGGCTGAGGGCCCTTGACTGCTCTCCCAGGATCTTTGCATATATGGTGCAGTACATGATAATGCTGTGAAAGAAACCTGGGTGCCCTGTTTGTCGACTACATAAAAGTCACAAAATCATTGTTTTCTGCCAAAATACAGCATTTCTTGAATATAGCTTCTTGGCTGGTCCCAGCTATTCTTCCCAAGGGCTTGTTTCAGGAGGCGGGGCAAAAATTTATGACGTCTAAAGCCTCAAAAACCTTTTAAGCTATCATTATATTCATGCACATGGTATCCTGAATTGAAACCCTCAAGGATCTTTATTCAATCTGTTTTATGTACGTAACGTAGATATTTCTGAATATTGTTTTCAGGTATTGTTGCCTATTGTCATCACCATTTTCCAGAGAACTACCCTTCTGTCAAGAGAAGAGGACATCTTACACCATGGATGGATTCTGCCTTCTGTACCTGCTCCTGATCCTCTTGATGAGATCTGGTGACGTTGAAACCAATCCAGGTCCCAAAACTGCAGAAAGGTATGCATACTGGCTTACTTCAAATCATTGGGTCATCGCGTCCGGTCAGGTGGTTGAGTTACACAGACTTTTGTGAAACGAGCCTGAATAATTAATTGACAGACAGCGTGCCGCCCACTCGCCTCTCGCAGGCCAGTGCACGAACAAGTGAGGCATCGATCACAAAGTTTATGAGATTGCCGCTGTAGCCTATTGCTATGTACTCAATAGGCGATTATCATTATTATTATTATTAGAACTAGTAGTAATCTTTTTCTTATTGATAGTATCATTAGTATCATCACCATTATTGTATTTACTGCCAGATTCTGCTTTTGGCAGAATGGTTACCTTTGCTAGAACGACATGCTCTCACCTGCAATTTGGGGAACTATGTTTCAAATGTTAATAATATATCACAAGCAAAATATTGTGATATTGCCAGCTTGTTAAATTGCACGATCGAGCACATACAGTAATGCAAATTGTTGAGTGTCACATAATAGCTTCTCAGCCAATAGGATACTCTCTAATTAATATCCTATCGTACCTGTTTGATTTATTATTCGTTTTACAGTACTGTCAGTGAAATGGAGTTCCTGAAGCTGGCCCAGGATATCCCTCCATCTTACTACGAGGCTGTAGGGATATCTCTAGGGATCCCCTATGCTCAGCTACAGGCAATCCTAAGTGAGAAGTTGAAGAACTATACCAATGCATTACTGGATGTCTTTATGAAATGGAATGTCAAGCAGCAACCTCCACACTCAAACAAAAGACAGCTTTTGGCAGACAAACTACAAGAGATTGACTTGGGTAGCCTATCAGACAGATTACTCAATGGACCTCCAATTCCGAACATTACAGGTAAATAGATACTAATTCTTGTTACACCAGAAGACATAGGAAACCATTCATAAAAGTGAATATCAGTTTTTACCATTTAGATAGTGATCGTGCTCTATGTTCTATACATTTGCCACAGTTTACAGAAGTTCCCAATTTTGTCAGGCCCTATGCATGTTTTTATAATTTCTTTATTTTAGCCATGAATTTCAAATTTGGAGTTGGTATGCATCCCAATATTAAAAACAAACTAATTATATTTTGGGTTAAGAAGGTCAAGGTCGGGAAAATAAAACAATTATCACCACATCAATAACAAGCTATTTTAACTGAAATTAATTTAAAGAAGAAGCTACATATGGTTTGATCCATCATAGGGAGACAAGTGATCAGGTCAACATGTATTTATATTAATATTCTCATTGTGATATTTAAAGATTGATTTAAGCCCCGATCTTAACTGAATTTAGGCAGAGGCATACTGGAGATGCAGTCATATTTGTCTTTTTTTCTTCAAAATAAGATGTGTGCTTGTCAGGGAAACTCTGCATTGCTGAAAAGTCCTAGGGAAAATTATTTCAGTGATATTCATCCAGAAGTACATGGCTATACACTAATTACCCAGATAATAAATGCCTTTAAATTGATTGAAGTCATATAAATTCAGACAAAAATGTAGGACTCTTTAAACATGCACCTAGTCTTACATTGTAGGTCACACTATTAGCCTCAGACCTTTTCAACTTTTTTTAGATGTACCTTGCAAAGATCAAACTATGTTCATCTATATCATGTGAATATGGATTATCTATGTATTTTTAGGAGAGCCATCAAGACTGCATGAATCACAGACCAAACCTCCTTCAGCTGATTCTCAGACCAAACCACTTTCTCCTGAACTGGTTGAGCGGTGTGCAAATGATTTCAAGTTCAAGTACAGGTCAACTCTCTGTAAGATCAGAACTGATCCTCTCGATCCTGCTTCCACTGTGCAGTTTAAAGACATGTATACTAATCTCTTCTTACAAAAAGAACATAACAAAAAGAAGCAAAAGCTAGATTACAATGATATCCTTGATCTCAAAGTCAATGGAGAATTCCCCAAGCGGATCATGGTTCAGGGAGAGGCAGGGGCTGGAAAAACTACATTTTGTGCTAAGATTGCCTGGGACTGGATTGAAGGGAGGCATTTTAGTCAATTTGTGTGGGTCTTGATCGTTCCTCTACGTGAATATAAGCAACGCACTATTGGCGAGATCGCAAAGTCTTATCTGGATAAAAGCAATCCAACAACGGTTTCCCAGATAACTAATTATATCTGTTCAAATCCTGACAAGGTATTCATCGCATTCGATGGGCTAGACGAAGTCAGTGGTAAAATCTCACAGCCAAGTTACACGTCCTCAGAGGCATGTGGAAGCTCATCTGAGACTGGTGATATTGGACTTCAAAGTATCCTTTGTTCAGCTCAACTTGCCTCTTGCCCAGTCTTGGTGACCACTCGCCCATGGAGAGCAGTAGAGATTAGATCAGATGGTGATCTAATGAAGCTGTACACATTCATTCATGTTGAGGGTTTCAACAGAGAGAATTTGTCAGATTACATTCACAAATACTTTCCAGAGAATGAGGATAAAGCAAATCAGCTTATCCAGCTCACCAGTGAGAATGATGTCATATATGAAAACATGGCCCACTATCCTATATATGTAGCTATGTTGTGTCTTATGTGGAAAGAACTTGACAAGCAAAAACTAAAGGAAATGAAACCCCTGAAAACTTTTTCTCAGATATTCAAAGAAATGATTACCTTTCTAAAAGAACATTATGCTCAGAAAAAGGTGAAGAAAGTAGGCAGCCCCTCACTTCTTAAATATTTGGGGAAAATTGATGAGCTCCTTCGACCGATTGCCAAACAGGCCCTCAACGGTCTGCTAGAAAATACCTTAGTATTCGGTGAAGATGATTTCAAAGTATGCAAAAAATCCAAGGACATTGCATGTCGGGTTGGGATTTTGTCTCAGGAGGACAGAATTACCACTAGCATGGACATACATAAGGGGACTTCTCATGTGCAATTGCCAGTCTTCTTCCCTCACAAGCTGTTTCAGGAGTACATGGCTGGTGACCATCTTGCTTCCCTGTATGAATCAGATCGTAATGAATTCAACAGGCTGATTGAGCAAGTAGTGATGCCAAGGAAGGAGGAGTTTAGATATCTCCTGTACTTCACTGTGTCACATAACAAAAGTATTGCAACCCATGTAATAAACTCTATGCTTCAGGGACTACCAGTAAACGGGAATGAATTGTTCTATGAGGAAGTGGAACCTTTCATGAACAGAGGGACTACACACATAGATTTCATTGTTGATGTAGCCTTTGAGAGTCTGGATCCAGATGTAGTAGCCTTGGTGAAGGACAGGGTTTCATCAATGGCAATTACGCTGACCGTGGACATTGACACGACTGCACACACTGTAGCTGGTTATGCATTCATTGGACCACCAGTGGTAAGTTTGATCATACATGTAGTTTGATAAACAAAATAGTTCATCCATTTTTGTACAAGTTTATACTTTTACATCTTTTGCAATTTTCTTACAGTGCAACAGTATATTTATTTAACCGTGCATCAAGGAGGTTTGGACAGTAATAATTTAGAAACTTGAACTTCAATCGGAAACAATTTGCATGCATTGATGCCCGGTTTTCTATTTCATTGAGCAGATAAATACAGCAATTAGATGATCCTATATGTACACACCAAGCAACAAGGCACATACTTGATACTTGATGAGGTAATCCCTGAAACAGCTTTTCCAAGCTATACTGGGATGGGATGTGTTGTGACAGCAGGTGAAGGTGCAGACAACAAAAAAGTGTACAATTTCTTTATACAGTAAAATAGTGACGTGCAAGTAAAAAATCATGCTGCTATATGGTTTACACACATTACACACGTATGGTTTTCAATATAGTTTGGCCTACAAGGCCTTGCATGCTAACATACTAATACATGACGCATATGGTGCAATACATTTTAATGTAGGAAACAAAATGGCGTCTAAAATGTCCCACTTCACAGATTTTCAAAATTGGGCTATGAGATGCCGTTAGGCCACCCAGGATATACTTGCAAAAATTTTAGATAAAGGAAAAACAAAAAGGGACTAAAAATCAGTTTGAAAATTGACGTCAGAGCCGATACAGGTTACAGTTGGGCAGAAACCCTGCATAATCCGAATTGTGACCTTCTTTCAATTTTGATAAACACAAACATTTCTAAGTGAACATATCCCGTGTATGGTATCATTTGAAGGGGCATTTCATTGCCGTTAATTTTACAGCATTGTCATCCACACTATTTGATGAACTGCAAGCATGTCCCGCATTGTTGTGATGCATTGCAAATTCAGCATTTTTTGTAAGCGGACACTTTTTTTTTTTTTTTTTGTCTCGAAATTTCAAAATTTGACATTTTTCTTCGTTGAGGGGGGGGGGGGGGGGGTAAGGTCACCTTATTTAGGTTAGCCGTGGGTATAATTTTTTTTTTTATTTAATAATAAAAAAATAAAAAATAAAAAAAAAACAAAGGGGGGGGGGGGGTTTTAATGTTTTTTAGGGGGGTTTACATACATAAAAATACCAAAGGGGGGGGGTTTGAACCCGCCAACCCCCCCCCCCCCCCTGCGTATGCCCCTGTCTGCCAAGTTCCGTAGACCTAGGTTTAAGGTTCGGCAATTGAGCACAAGTAGAAGTTATTTAGGAATTTTTCCTATAAGTATGGTTTTTCGAGAGCATTTTTTCACAAAGTTGGTCAGGGGTAAGATGCCTTTTTTTAATTTGTTTGATTTGCTGTAAAGGATATATCTTCCAAATAAAAAAAAGGGTACGGATTAAGCCAGGCATTATGGAGCTATGGCCAAATAAACACATCCATTTTCAGAACTTAAGAGGGTGCTGTTCATATCATGCGTGACCATTGATGTGTGAAATTTAGCAAAAATGTGTGCAATCCAAAGATAGATGCTGAAACAATTTCAGACAGAATGGAATTGATATGACAAAGTTTTTTAAAACTTTTTTTATTGGCCAATATTTAAACAATTTTACAGATTCTTAAAAGAGTCGATTTTAACTTTAATTTAGACTGTAAAGATGGCACTTTGAAGGGCCATTTGTATGTCAAAGAAGAAGAGCAGCTCTTGCACTATCTAGAGTAATTTGTTAGAAGTTTTTTGTATCTCGGATAGTGGAGATATAGGTAGGCTGAAAGAAAGCATGAAAATACACCCAAAACCATCAAAATAGCACACGATGGGATGGTAAAGAATATGGATCCAAAATCTGAAAGGAATAGGGATAGAGAAAGGGACCTAATTGGGAATAACGAGCACTGAGTGCAAAACAAATATGATTTGGGTGGAAGAAGGTTTTTAAAAAAGAATTCAGGATGCGCAAATGTACAAGGCATTGACAAGGAGGTCAATGCAATTACATTGAAGCTATGTATTGGCCTGTGCATATAATATACACAGTGCATCTACACCTTTTATATGAGATAAAATTTAGGGAAAGGGAACTTTATGACATTTTCATCCCTTACAAAAATAATATCTCTTGCCTATTCAAAGTGAAATCCTACTTCTTGGTTTATAAATGTTAAACAGGACACAAAGGAATCTGTTTTTGATATATTCTTGGCCCTATGTAAAATTGGTGTTATTGATATGAATCATATCGAAGCAGAGTTTGAATTTGAAAGCATTTGCAACTCTTAACAAACATCATTACTGTAGATCAATTCATCTTCTGCTTCACTCTCCCTTGGTGAGACTGAATACGTGTATGTGCTCATGGAGGGGGTATCAACATTTTCTCCTTTGCGGGCCTAGATTTTTGCCTTATATCCACCTTGTAATTTAGTGATCGTGTTCCTAATTATAAATGAATAAGGTATGAGACACCAGATGGTGTAAACTTGAATAATCTTCTTTGAAACCTGTTCTTAGACTTAAACTCTCCTTTTATTTTGTTTAAGGATTATCTGTTCAATACATGGTAAACTAAGATGAGATATTCCTAAGTCACAAAAATAGGAATTTGATATGAAATGTCATGGCAATAATTCTTCAGCCTGTACCCTTATTTATTTCCTTTTCCCTCTCACTCTCTGCAGTTCTAGCAGCACATCTAGGGCAACCATTCATGTAGGCTACACATGTATGCCTAACATCAAAGTGGACATCTATATTCTGTATCACATCAGTAATCACTTTGTCATTTTATTCAGGTTGCACTCGAAATTAGAAGAGATTGTGGACCTTCTATGTCACTTGATGTGGCAGAGATAATATGCTCCATGCCATCCTTGAGGGATATTTCTCTTCATCGTGGTGTACTATACCATGATTGTTTTTTTGCAACACTTGCTAGGAAAGGAAATGAATCAAAGGTGAGCATTTCATCCACAATTGTGATATACATTCCTTCACCATCTCTATCTCTTTCCTTTTCTTTTGTACATTTTAATTTTCTGTAATTCCTTTGTATGTCTCATACTGTATATGCAGGTTCTTTTGACAGAAGAATATATCAGTGGTCTTTTAATTAAGGCTACCCAGGCGCGTACCCAAGATTTTTTCGAGGGGGGTTAAAATTTGAAAATCAAAGTTTACACATAGAGAATTGATCATTATTAAAAAAATCATCTATGAACAGTAAATTATTGTACATCTGATGAAAGAGTGTTTTATCCCAAATCATTTGGTACCATTTTTATGTGGTATGTGTTCACACTTGGATGAACAGGAGGCACTGTTTGCGAGAGTGCAAAAATCGACTTGCGCCACAGTTGCTTATGTGATGTTTGAATAAAACAATTGGGATTTGGGTATTTATTCGGTCTTTGCAAATCCAAATAACATCCCTAACAAAATTAATCATGCCACACATATCAAATATCAAATATTACAAACGTTTGTGCGCGTGTGTGTGGCAGGCCTGATAAAAACCCGATTTTTTTTTGATTTCCCGATTTTTCCCTGATTTTTTTTTTTTTTTTTTTTTTTAATAATTTTTTTTTCTTCCCTATTTTATCCTGATTTTCCCAATTTCCCTCTTATTCTCTCTATTCTTCCCTATTTTGCCCTATTTTTCCCCCAATTTTCTTACTCGAAAGGGGGGGAATGTTGTTAGATGCCATTTTTTCCCCGCGAATCCTCTTTTTTTTTGTTTTACTCAAGGGGGGGCGTGGTTGAGGGGAAAACAAAAAACCTCTTTTTTTGTTAGTGCTCACTATCACCCCTGGTGTGGGTGTGTGTGACTCTGCCCTTTGCAAAAAGCATATGCAATGCATTTAATTTGATACATTCAATTCATTCTCTCACTCCGCTAATCCCAACATAATACATACTGTAGGTATCACTTTGGCGCAAGTCGATTTTTGCACTTACGCAAACAATGCCTCGTGTTCATCTAAGCGTAAACACATACCACCCAAAAATGATACCAAATGATTTGGGATAAAACACTCTTTCATCAGATGTATAATAATTTACTGTTCACAGATGATTCTAAAAATAATTAGCAATTTTCTATGTGTAAACTTTTTTTTGACTCACACGATATAGATGAGCTATATTAATAAACAATGCAGGTCCAGAATCTCGAAATGTTTTACACCACCTTCCTCTTATCACTTAACGGAAGCACCATGTTCTAACTTCTATGCCAAACCTGACTGAATTTGTATTATTATTATGATTTTGTTTTAATCCATTCACCAAATATAGTCATGAAATGTAGTCATGAAATATGGAATAAAAAGCTGACTATGGAAGTGCCTATTTAGTTGAAATTCCAGTGTATATGATATCAATATTATTTTGATCGATAATCAATATCCAACCCTTTCCATTTTTGATTTATAATTTCGTCTAGCTTTTGTAACAGCCAATTTCGAAGGCTTAAATTTACCAAAACTGTACAATAGCCACATCATCCTGACTTAGCTTTCTTGTGCACATGAAACCATAGTTATGAATACCTTCTCTATTTTAATAGCAGATGCAGATTTATTGGTATTATTTGTTTCAGTGTTGTTAGGAGTAGGTCTTACTGAAGTAAACAGCTTGGATACCTGTTAAAGAGTACATATAGGATATTTTAGGGAAAATATATAAGTTAATCATACTCTCCATAGAAACTTTAGGGTAAGACAAGAATTGAATTTTTCTTTAAATTCTATATAGTTATCTTAGTTAAGAATGTGAATATCAAAACATCTGTGTTATACTTTCAGTTGGTGATGACTATAAGAATGCAATAAGAATAAGAACTAGTAACTAAAATAACTTATTTATAGATGAGCTGCTTAACTACATGTATATTCACAAACAATTCAGGTCCAGACTTTCTGGCTTGAATATCTCAAGTGTTCCACGCCAGCCTCATCACATCACCTAGCAGTTGCACTGTGTACTATGCCAAACCTGACTGACTTGACACTTGGAGGGAATCTCACTGAGGAGTTCTACTCTACATTGAAAGTAAAGGCATCATCCATACAGGTATATGTATACTAATGTTAATGTCATGGAAAGGGTCATCGAAAAAGAAAAAAGTAGTAATGATGATATGATGCACAGATTTCTTGGTATTATTTATTTCAGTGTTGTTGGGAGTAGGTCTTATCGATGTTAACAGAATGGATGCCTTTTAAAGAATACCTATAGGTTATTTTAGAAGAAATACATAGGTTAGTCATCCTTTCCATAGAAACATTAGTGTAAGACAAGAAATGAATTATTTTTTAAAACTCAATACTTATCAGTGCTGTAGCCGAACCGCTGAACCCCATTTAAATCCCAAATCCTGATCTCTGCAAAGTCGCGATCGCAAGCTTTAAACAAGAATACACGTGCATACTAATTATGATATTTTTTATTTAGGTATCTTACTAAAAATAAAAATTTATAAGGACTGTAATCGAACTAGCTATGGCTGCTATCTCTGTGTATTATACGTATACATCAGCAAAATCAATATGGCAGCCTTCATGACTCGTGACATTATAAAACAACCGTCTCGGCAAATCTTTAAAAAATATCATTTATTTTTAAAACACGATTCTTGTAAAATTGCAAATAAAACACGATTAAAGACGGAAATATAAATGTAAGTACTACTTTTCTTCACAAAAAGTTATGTTTAAAGCAGTTTCCTTTGTGAAATTTGTGCCGGTCGGAAGCAGTGTTTTTCATCAGGAGTGGTGGGGATGCGACCCGCCAAGTGCAAACCAGCGTACCGTAGCTATATCGCTGCTTGCTATTATATTACTGAACCCTGAACCGAACCAAGTTCGGGTGAAAAATTGCCGAACCCTGCCGAACCGAACACGAACATGGCGCCCGACTTACAGCACTAGTTTACAGATAAGCTGCTTAACTATGTTCACAAACAATGCAGGTCCAGACCCTCAAGCTTGATAATCTTGAGTGTCCCACACCAGCCTCATCACATCACCGAGCAGAAGCACTGTGTACTATGCCAAATCTGACTGACCTGACACTCATTGGAGGATATCTCACTGAGGAGTTCTGCTCTACATTGAATGCAAAGGCATCATCCATACAGGTATGTGTATACTAATGTAAATGTCACGGATAGGGTCATTCAAAAAACGAAAGAGTAGTTATTCAATTCAGCATTTATTCAATTCCATATTAAAAATAGTAACATCAACATGCAGTATATTTCGGTTGCAGTTATCAAAATAGTAAAATATTGACAGTAATTAAAAAATAATAGGAATTTGGTTGATGTATATAAACCCTAATGGGTTGTCTGGACAGCCACCATGAAATGAGATAGATTCACATAAACAGTAAAATTAGTAACGAATCATACGAAATGATATATGAATAAACAATAACAAAAACAAAACAGTAATGATGATATTATGCACATGAATACATGTCCTGTTTTATTCCAAATACCCTTTTGTTTTTTAAAATCCATTCACAGAAAATGTCGGAATAGTCATGAAATACGGAATGAGAGCAGACTATCGAAGTGCCTTTTTATTTGAAAATCCAGTGTGTTTGAGATTATTATTATTTTGATCACTAGTCCAACCCTTTCCATTTTCATGCCTCCGCTACAAAGTAGCCAGAGGCATTATGTTTTCCGGTTGTCCGTCTGTACTTCCCGTTCTTGTGATCGCGTTACTGCAAGAACTGATTGATGTATTACCGCCAAACTTGCGTCATGTATGTATCTTGCAGAGCTAATGAACTCATTAGGTTTTGGGGTCACAAGGTCAAAGGTCACAGGGCTCATCATGTATGCAAAAGTAGCTTGTGATTATACTATCATTAGACCCGGTGGACGGATTACCATCAAACTCGACATGTACATGTATGTATCTTGCAGAGCCAATGAACTAACTAGATTTTAGGGTTATGAGATCAAAAGTTGTGGGGCTTATTATGATTCAAAAATAGCTTGTGATCGCATTGTCTTGAAAGCCGATAGACAGATTACAATCAAACTCGAGACATGTTTATATATCTTTCAGAGCCAATGAACTGATTGGATTTTTAGGGTCATGCGGTCAAAGTTCATGGGGCTCATTTCGTATGCCTATAAGTAGCATGTGAAGGCATTGTCATTAGAACCGACAGATGGATTACTATTAAACTCAGGACATGTATTTATCTTGCAGAGCCATGTATATGAGAACAAAAATTGTAATTATGATATTTGAGAACCTGCTTCCGTTTTGCTTTGTAAAACCGCTCAATGGCATCATTTTCGACTGCGCGCAGTTGAAGTTTCATCTAGTCGATTTATGGGACAAATATATCATGTAGCTTTTGTAACGGCAAGTTTGATAAAGGCTTAAATTTACCAAAACTGTACATTAGCCACATCGTCCTGACTTATCATGCTTTCTTGTGCACATGAAACCAATGATATGAACACTTTCACTATGTTAACCCTTTAGCAAATAAACCACCCGAAACTGGCCCTCCTTTAATTCACTGAACTGCCAGAAACCGCCTGTCCGTTTTCGTTCCTTTTCAACGCGCTATAGTATCTGTTCTAGGGTCTACCGTAATATTGTTGTACGTGCGTAATCCTTACGATGTCAACAGTAGGATTCTGCATAGAAAAATAGCGCATGTTTCATATTTTTTTATAAATGTAATGCTTCCTGGGAGAAGTTTCAATTGTTTAAACATATTTGTGGCTTACACCCAGTAAATAAGATCGATTGATCGATCTGTGATTGAAAAACAAGTCAGAAAAAATCTTGGAACCAGCAGGATTTAAACCTGTCATCTACTGCTTGGCGGGCAGCAACTCTACCACCAGGCCATCACTGGTCCATGGCACAGTCACGATGAACTAGAAACAAATACCTAAGCTCTCCTGATTCATTCTGACTGATTAATATTCATTAGTCCTCCATAGGACAATAAATTTTATAAATGTAATGCTTCCTGGGAGAAACTTCAATTGTTTAAACATATTTGTGGCTTACACCCAGTAAATGAGATCGATTGATCGACCTGTAATTGATTACAGATCGATCATTCGATCTCATTTACTGGGTGTAAGCCACAAATATTTTTAAACAATGTTTCATATTGTTCAGAACTCTGTCAAAATGAAAGCAATATTGCAACATCTTCCAGTGAGTAATAGGCCATATTTACAAAATCCTCTAGTTGCCAATTGGTTAATAGCAAATGCCAATTTATTGGTATTTTAGTGTTGCCAGGAGTAGGTCTTATTAATGTAAACAACTTGGATGTCTTTTAAAGAGTACATATAGGATATTTTAGGAAAAATATATAACTTAATCATCCTCTACATAGAAACTTTAGCGTTAAGACAAGAATTGAATATTTCTTTAAAACTCTATATAGTTATCTTTGTTAAGAATGTAAATATCAATACCGGTACATATAAGAATGCAATGAGAAATTAGAACAAGTTACTTAAAATATTTGTTTATAGATGAACTGCTTAACTTTATTCACAAACGATGCAGGTCAAGACTCTCTGGCTTGATGATGTCGAGTGTCCCACGCCAGCCTCATCACACTACCTAGCAGAAGCATTGTATTCTATGCCAAACCTGACTCACCTGCTACTCTATAGACTGGATCTCACTGAGGAGTTCTGCTCTACATTGAAAGCAAAGGCATCATCCATACAGGTATGTGTATACTAATGTAAATGTCATGGAAAGGATCATTGACAAAAAGAAAAAGTAGTAATGATGATATGAAGCACATGTACACATGTCTTTTTTTGTTCCAAATACCCTTTTGTTTTTTTAATCCATTCATTGCATATATCAGAAAAGTCATGTAGAGATGCCCCCAAAACAGTATGATTTTATCGTATTTTGTACGATTTTTAGAACTAAATACAAAAGTACGATTTTTCCTTAAAGGGATAGTCCACCCCAGGATTTTCTTTAGCTGACGATATAGACCTAATAATACCATGAAGAATGATACAAGTCTCATTAAAATCCATGATCACATAACGAAGATATATCGACTTTTTTATCGAAAATCAGCCGCCCCCCAAATGCAAATGCGTTACATGGGCATGAAACGATCGCCAAAAAATAACCGATAGTATCGAAATTGTGACGTATGTTGCGAGCTGCCTTCTTTTTTCGCAGACATTCACTTTCGCTTTCACTTTCATTCATGATTCGTCGTGTCAATGCGATAACAGTGTACCGCGAGCGAAAGTGGCGGCTGATTTTCGATAAAAAAGTCGATATATCTTCGTTATGTGATCATGGATTTTAATAAGACTTGTATCATTCTTCATGGTATTATTAGGTCTATATCGTCAGCTAAAAAAAAATCCTGGGGTGGACTTTCCCTTTAATAAAAAAACGATTAAATTTTTTTTTCTTTTTTTTCTGAAAACTTGAATTGTGTTTGTGTATTTTGTGTGTATCTTCCATTTTCAATGGCAAATTGCCTATTCTCTCCTGTAAAGTATCCTCCAATCATCTCACATCAGCAATTTTGGGATTTTCAATGGTTCATCGAACACAACGGTCATGACAAAATCATGCATATTCAACCTATGGTCCATACCAATTTTCTTCATGAATGCCCCCCCCCCCAAAAAAAAGAAGCATTTTCGCGGTTAGAAATTACTTATCGGTCAAAAATAGGATTTTTTATTTTGAACATTTTTTTTTGGGGGGGGGGGGGGAAAGAAAAAGATTTTTGTTCAGTTGGGGTCGGCAGCCCTGGTCATGTAATATGGAATGAAAGCAAACTATGGAAGTGCATATTTAGTTGGAATACCAGTGTGTATGAGATTAATAATATTTTGATCACTAATCAATATCCAATCCTTTGCCATTTTCATGCCTCCACTACAAAGTAGCTGGAGGCATTATGTTTTCTGGTTGTCTGTCCGTCCGTCTCGTTCTTGTGAACGGGTTATCTCTAGAACCGATTGATGGATCACAGCCAAACTTGGGTCATGTATGTATCTTGCAAAGCCAATGAACTGTGTAGATCTTGGGTCACGAGGTTAAAGGTCAAAGGTCACACGGCTTATTATGAATGCAAAAATAACTTTTGATCGCATTATCTCAAGAACCGATTGATGGATTACCGGCAAACTTGGGTTATGTATGTATCTTGCAGAGTCAATGAACTGATAAGATTTTGGGGTCACAAGGTCAAAGGTTATGGGGCTCATTATGTATGCAAAAATAGTTTGCGAACGCACTGTCAATACTGACAGATAGATTACTATTAGACCCGGGACATGTATGTATCTTGCAGAGCTAATGAACTGATTAGATTTTGGGGTCATGAGGTCAAAGTTCAAAGGGTCATACATGTATATTAAAAATAGCTTGTAATCGCGAAATTCTGAGAACCTAAGAACCAATGAACTGATTGGATTTTTAGAGTCATGAGGTCAAAGGTCATGGGTCTCATTTCATGTGAAGGCATTGTCATTAAAACCGACAGATGGATTACTATTAAACTCAGGACATGTTTTTATCTTGCAGAGCCATGTATATGAGAACAAAAATTGTAATCATGATATTTTGAGAACCTGTTAATGAATTACAATCAAACTTGAATTTTTAAATCGCTTCTGTTTTGGTTTGGAAAATCGCTCTATGGCGGAGGCATCATTTTTCGACTGCGTGCAGTCGAACATCCATCTAGTTCATTTATAGGGCAAATTTGTCATGGAGCTTTTTTAACAGCCAATTTTGCAGGCCTGATAAAAACCCGATTTAAATCGATTTCCCGATTTTTTTTATTTTTCCCGATTTTTTCCCGATTCTGTTTCTTCTTCCCGATTTAAAAAAAAAAAAAAAATAAAATCCAGATTTTTTTTTTTTTTTTTTTTCCAATTTTTTTTTTCTTCCCTATTTTATCCTGATTTCCCGATTTCCCGATTTCCCTCTTATTTTCTCTATTCTGCCCTATTTTGCCCTATTTTTCCCCAATTTTCTTACTCGAAAGGGGGGGAATGTTGTTAGATGCCATTTCTTCCCTGCGAATCCTCTTTTTTTTTTTACTCACGGGAGGCGTGGTTGAGGGGAAAACAAAAAACCTTTTTTTTTTTTTTAGTGCTCACTATCACCCCTGATTTTGATAAAGGCTTAATTTTATCAAAACTGTACAATAGCCATATCGTCCTGACTTAGCTTTCTTGTGCAGATGAAACCAGAGTTATGAATACCTTCACCATGTTAACAGCAAATGCAGATTTCTTGGTATTATTAATTTCAGTGTTGTTAGGAGTAGGTCTTATTAAGTTGGAAGGCTTTCAAAGAATACATATAGGATATATTTTAGAAGAAATATATAAGTTAATCATCCATAGAAACTTTAGTGTAGGACAAATATTGAATATTTCTGTTTGCATTCTGGTAGTGTTAAATATAATATGCAATGAGAAATTAGAACTACCGGTAGTAACTAAAATAATGTGTTTATAGATGAGCTGCTTAACTATTTTCACAAACAATGCAGGTCCAGAATCTCTGGCTTTATAGTTTTGGGTGTCGCACACCAGCCTCATCACATTACCTAGCAGAAGCACTGTGTTCTATGCCAAAACTGACTAACCTGAAACTCGTTCGAGGGAATCTCACTGAGGATTTCTATTCTACATTGAAAGCAAAGGCATCATCCATACAGGTATTTGTATATAATGTAAATGTCATGGAAAGGGTCATTGAAAAAAGGAGTAGTAATGATTATATGATGCACATGTTTACATGTCTCTTTTTATTCCAAATACCCTTTTGTTTTTTTAAATCCATAGTCATGAAATATGGAATGAAAGCAAACGATGGAAGTGCGTATGCACTTGAAATTCCAGTTTGTATTAAATTTACATTGTTTTGATTACTAATCACTATCCAACCTTTTCCAAGTTTGATTTATATGAAAAATATGACATATGACTTTTAAAGACAATTATAATATGGGCTTGAATTTTCCAAACTGCACTATAGCAACAAACCTGACAAGAGTTACGAGTACCTTTTAAACATTAATTGCAGACGCATATACATGTATCTGAGTATTATTAATTTTGGTGTTATTAGGAATAGGACATATCAATACAAAAAGGTAGGAAACCCTATAAAGAATATAAATAGATTTTTTTTTCAAAATTTAATCTTGCTATATCACTCTTTTCTTTGACACTTTAGTGTGATCTTCTTCTACAAGAGACAATAATTGAATTTGAAAAGAAAAAATATTCAACCCTTCCCGGCCTTGCATGTATATCATAGGTGTTTTGTCCCTTTTGCAGGCGGAACATAATGAAAACTGTTGGACATTTGCTCTTGGAAATTGCGTGCGCATACGTGTACGTCGCTACAACACGTAAACTACTACTACGAAATATGACATTGTTGCATCAATTCGACCATATCTTAAGTTACCATTAACGTTATAAATTGGGGCGAGTCGCATTTGAAAGGGGAGAATTTCTGCTATTTTGTGGAATAAAAATTATTTATGGGGACCTTTTAACCTCTCTGCCTTTTGTTCTTGAATGTTGTTACGCATTCATTCTCTGAGACAGAAGTCTATGTCAGATGCCCCAATTTTGTGTTGATAAGTGTGCACGGTCATGCTCAAATGGCTATAACATCTGAATGCGCCAACGTATCAAATTGGGGCGAGCAGATCTAGAGACTTCAAATCCTAAGCTAAAGGCTGATGTCAAAATCATTGTCATTGGTCCAATAACCTCTCTGCCTTTTTGTTTCAAAAGTTTTCACCAGTGTGCCCATGCAGTGAGCCATAATGCATGGCCGTCCAGAGGATTTTTTAATGTTGGGGACCGGGGTAAAATGCAATAAATTATTGAATATTTATTGCATTTTCTGTTTTTTTTTAAATTTATGGAAACTGCCCCCTACCCTAGCCCCCGCTACGTACAGTCATGGTTCAGTGACAAAGCAATGGCCTCGTAACTGTGAGGCCCCAGGATCAACACCGTGTCGATGTGCTATATTAGTGCCCTTTTGTGAGGCATTAATCCTCATTACTGTCATTTATGACTTAAGGGCATAGGTCCCCTAGTTGATAAACATAGTAGCATAATATACATGCTTTAGCAGTCACGCAAAACACATATTGGCAAATTATTATTCAATAATATCTGAGACTGTATACTATTATTTAGATCTAGTATTTTTAAATTATTTTTAAAATAATTCCATAAATTGGGATAGAAAAAAATATTCCACCGTTATGAGCAACAGTGTACATAGGAACAAAAAAAAAAAAAATTGTTACTTCATATTTTGTAATTTTGTATTCATTTTATTTCCTCTGTTTTCTATATATATATAAATAAAATATATGCATGTATAAATGAGTCACTTGACTATATTCACAAACAATGCAGGTCCAGAATCTCTCTCTTCGCGATGAGGCATATCCCACACCAGCCTCATCACATTACCTAGCAGAAGCACTGTGTACTATGCCAAAACTGACTAACCTGAGACTCATAGCAGGGAATCTCACTGAGCAGTTCTGCTATACATTGAAAGTGAAGGCATCATCCATACAGGTATTTGTATACTAATGTCAATATCATATGGAAAGGGTCATTAGAAAAGAAAGAGTATTAATGATGAAACAACGCACATGTAAACATTTTTTAAAATTCCAAATACCC